CTAGAGCAACATTAGCACGAAAAGTACAGTGCTAAACAATAACAAAGATAGTAATACAAGAATTATTCTAGAATAGATAATATTTCAAGGGTAAATGCTAGTAAAAATCGTGCAAGGGGTAGTGATGATCTTGGGCGAAAATCAAGTGTAACACTGGAATGGATTATTGCAATTGGTTGATCACAATAAAAAAATTTTTTTAAATCGTTTTTCCTTCTTAATTTTTATTATATACCCAAAAAATTTTTTTATGTTACTCTTTTCATTTCACAGTTTTTTGTTGTACTAAAAATACAGGGTTCTGAGCTAAGCCCTCAACAATGTGAACAAATAATTGGCACACATCTTTCAGGTACTAAAGACAAAATTATTTCCTCTTAACTGGTATACCTTCTTTAACTGTTTATAACACTATAAATCGCTATAAAAAAATGATTTCCCTTACCCTAATACACGTTATGAACATCCAAAAAATCTTTTTTAACTGTGATCAGTGAATAGTGTGACATTATGTTCAAAAAATTATTTTGCGCCCCTAGGCAACATTTCGAATGATATAAACACTCATCTCATCTCAATATTTTATGCAAATACTATTTGAAACTATTTACACAAAATGAAACTAAAGAATTATACAGCACGAAAAAAGTCTCTTTTATCAAATAAACAATGTTTAACTCAACTTAATTGATGCAGAACCAAATGTGACTGGAATAAGGAATGGAAACGAATTGTATAGTCTGATAAATCACAATTTGCCTTATTCGAGTCTGACAAACAAGTACGAGTTTGATACAGGATTGGAAAAGAATACAATATAGACTGTATTAAGCCTACTGTAAAATTTGACAGGGGATCAGCTATGTTTTGGAACTGTTTCTTGTGAAATGGTATTGACCCCTTAGTACTCGTGGATCAAATAATAAATTCGGAAGCTTACGTAAACATTTTAGTCACCAACTTTATATCTTGGATTTATAATAATCCAGGTGCCATATTTTAACAAGATGGTGCCAGTTGTCATACCACTCAATATATGGCTTGGTGGCTTGAATTACATGCGATTCAAGTTTTGGATTGGGTTGCTCAAAGTTCTGACCTCAATCCAATTAAGAATTTGTGGGACCATTTGGATTGTCAGATCCAAAAAAAAAACTTTTACCTGTATCTAGACAAGAATTTATTTGTATTATACAAGAGGAATGGAAAAAAATAAGTATTGAAATGGTACAGCACATAATTTTAAGCTTGCCTTGATGTGTCAAAACAATTATTAAGGCTAAGGATAAAAATACAAAATATTAATATATCATGTTTTGAATCGTATGAAAATAAATTATGATCATTATAGTTTATTTTATTTCATACATCTCAGAATTGTACTAATTTGTATGCCTCTAGAAACTTTAGTATATTATATTGGCTCTTGTCATCTAAAGTTGCTCCTTGATACTAGTTCTCTATCTTTATCTATCTCTTGAGATAAAAATAATATATAATAATAAGAAAGCTAAGAGACTGAGAATCTTATAAGAAGTTTATCAATGTTTTTTTTTTGTTTGTATAGTTTGGTGTTAATAATACATAACAGATTAATCACAGTAATTTTCAAATAATTTTGAAATACTCTATATATGGATATTTATTTTTGAAGGTAACAAAAATGCTAGATATAATTTTTTTGGATTCAACTTTTAAACAATACATATATAATATTAATTTTAGGATCATGCCAGAAAATTTCTGGTCTGCCTTAAAAAATAACTATCCATATATATATATATACAATTTTTAAAAACAGTTATAAAATATAATTGCTTTGTTGTAATATTTTTATATAAAGCATTAAATTTTACTATTGAAATTAACTTTGATTAATTAAGTAAATACATGTATATTCTAATGGCAAATTTTACATTTAGTAAAATTCTATTATTTAATTTATTAATTTGTATTTACTTAAAATTACATATTATAATATTAAAAATTTTTTAAAAAATGTTTATTATAAATAGAATTCATTAAAATAAATAAGTTTACTTAATTTATTAAGGTCAATTTAATAATAAAAACATTTATAAGAAATTGTGATTGTAAATTAATGATAAAATTTTAATTTTTAAATTATTTTTAATAGCAATTTTATTTATTAAATATTTTTTAAATATTCAATATACTGTAAATATGAATCGTTTGTTAAAACACTAGTTTTAGAAATAATATAAAAATTAAAATTAAAAAAATCGTGGCATGAAATATAGACCCCAAATTTTATAATTAAATGTTATTAAAATTAGCGAAACTTTCTACTTAATACACAAAAGCATATATGCTTAATAAATAAAAAGTTTAATGTGTAGTAACGTTTATATTTAAAAGAAATTTCGGATTTTTTCGAAAACCCCGTGTATCAGATTTTCTTTTATCGTGTAAACAGGGATTCGTATCGATCACCAACATATGTAGACTATTTGAGAGTTGACTGTAAGTATTCGAATCAACGTGACGAAAGAATTTAGCAGCTTAGAGCATTATCTTTTAAAATACATTATTTAATGGATACATTATATATTTTAACCATTTATTTTAAACAAGGGATAGTTGATTAAAAGTTTTACCGGATTAAGCTGTACATACAATTGCATATTGCGTGCTGCGTTAAAAAATTTTCTGTTTGTCGAGAGTTTGACGGCACAGTACGTACTACGTAGTACCTGCTACATTCTAGAAACTATCCCTTTTTTCATATATGTATTCCGTCTTCTGGCGCATCCTACTTATTAGCTATTTATTATTTCTCTCAAAAAATTAAAATGTCTAGCAAAATTTTTAATAGGCAAGTTAAAATGCTGGTCTTCGATTTTACAAATAATTTGCTACTTATAATAATTAGCCATATTAAATAATAGGTTAAGTAGACAACCGCCTCAAAATGAAGAAGCAACAAAAGATTCGGCTGAAGTAGTGATGGCAAGTGAAAGAGATGCTCTTAAACATGGTTACCTAAAGAGATTAAGTCAATTTGTCAAACTTCATGAACAACGATATTTTGTGTTCACTCATGAAGGTTCTTTGAACTACTTTAAAAATGAAAATGATGGTACAGACGCTAAGGAAATTATGATCACTCGTGATGTTCAGATCAGGAATATTAATGGCAAAAATTTAGAGTTCGAAATTGAAACAAAAACAAGGACCTTTAGACTCATTGCTTCAACAGAAAAAGAAAGGGACGAGTGGGTCTCTGTACTTAACGAATACAAAAAAACTCTTCCTGAATCTGATGAGAATAAGAATTAAAGAAGTATTTAATGATTCTAGATATTTTTTATATTTGGTTTATCAAACTTTCAATTTATTATATATATATATATATTTGTATTTTTCTTTTCATAATTAATTCAACTAAAATTATCTATTCTGTTTAGAATCCCTCTTCGATTAATTTAGTTGATCAATGTACAAGCCCCATCAAATAGAAGAATTTCCTAGATACAATTTATTTATTTTTAAACAGCTGGGTTCCAAAAAATTACGGGATATTAATTTCCATGAAATTAAGGAGATTTGTATATCGTGATTTTGGCGGTTATTACAGTATCAATAGAATTTTATAACATTAAATAATAAAAGTATCATAAAGACAGTATTTATATTTGATAGTATCGAAATGCTTTACCTAAGTAATTATTTTTTTTTTTTTAGAAAAATAGCTATTTCGTATTAACATTTAATTTAAAAAAGTTTCGAATGAACGGTTTGAATAAATAGAATCATCAAAGGGTATTTTTTGTACTGTAAAATATCACCAGTCAATGACGCTGAATCTTACTCGTCAATGATGAAGGCCTTAATATTATTGTTTTATAAAAAATGTTTCATCTTACCGCTTCATACTGAAGAATTAATTTATCATTATACACGCACAAATTGAAATAAGGTTATTTTTTACTATTTAAAAATGTCAGGAAATTGTTGATAATAAAGTAATCAAATTAAAGATAAAGTAAGAGAATAAAATATGAAAATATGAAACTTAAATAAATATAATATGAAAAATAAAATAATGAAACAATAAAAATTTTAGAAATTTTAAGATTTTTAAAAATTTTTAAAATATATACTAATACATTAAGATAAATTTTTATTTAAAAAAATAAATATAAAAAATTTGCTTTTTCTTGAATTCTATTAATTTCTTTTATTTTAAACTTTTAAGTATTTTAAATGTTTATTTAAATAATTAAGAAAATGGTTATGTATTTTAAAAGCAATTTTTATATTTTATTATATGAAATTTTTTTTCAAAAAAAAAATCAAAATTAATTAATTCTCATTATCTAATTAACTTTTAGTTTCAATTAATTAAAATTTTAAATATTGAAACAGGAATAACATATTGTTAGAAATATAATTAGCTAATCTGTCTATCACTACATTGCAATGGATATGATACAAAAAAAAATGTTATATATTAGGCTAAATTTTTATTAAAAATGTTTTTATTTTTTTTATCTTTTTTTAATATATTTTTCTTTTCTTTTATACCTATAAAAATTTTTTTAAAAATTTCAAAAATCTTAAAAATCTTTCAAGTTTCAATTATACATTAATTAGATAAAAACATTATATATTTTTATTATAAATTTTTTAATACTTTTATAATATTAAGTAAAATAACATAATTATATTATTTCTACTTAATTTAGATTATTATATTATTTCTACTTAGTTTAGATTATAATTACTTAAGTATAACATATAAATTACAAAACTCAAATTATTTGAGTAATAAATAAATCACAAAACTTATATTATTTGAGTGATAGTTGGGTTATAAAACTTAAGTTACTTGAGTAATAAGTAGATCATAAAACTCAAGTCACTTAAAATAACTTATATATTTTTTAAAAATCAAATTTGACATTAATTATATTAATTATATCTTAATTACTTATTTCTTAAATTGTAGATATTTGTAGATAAATTTGCTTACAAAATTAATAAAAATATATTTATGATTTATTTTTGTAAAAATTTTAAAAATATTTATTTATTATTTTTTTTTTGTAGATAAACATTATTACTTTATTCATTATAAAATTGTTTGAAATTTATACATGGAGAAAGCAACAACATCTTTTATATAACTAGTTAAATTAATAAGTCTAATACTAGCTTGCCTATGTGAACTATCTTAAAAATAAGGAAAATAAATATTAAAATTGTTACACATCTGAGATAGTGCCAAACAGTTATGAATACCTACTCAGAATTATTAATGAAATTGTTAAAGTTGGTTATTAAGTTTTTGTAACATAAAGTAGAGTTGTAATTGCTATTAATAAATTCATTTGTGATTAAAGATGGAAGATCCACTGTTAATTCACTATAAGAATTTGAGTTAAATCTGGAGTTTAATGTTTCCTGGCTTGGATTTTTAGAATTGGTATTATTGTTATTATTATTGTTATCATTAGCAAAATAAATAGGATGATATGTATCAATTAATAATATCTAGAATACATATCAATTATAATTTCTCCTGCTGATTATTATTAATTATAATAAAAATCAATATGTATCAGAGTTTATTGAATTTGATTTACAATTTAAAAAATTAATTTATATCAAGTTTTATTGATTTGTTTTAAAATTAACATTTTGATTAATAATGAAATATTTATAGTTTTAATATATATCATAATTCTTGTATTATATGTAATAATTAAAATTAAATGATTTGTTTTTATTAAAGCAAATTAATTATTTTATATTTTTACAAATTATTATATTTATTTCTAATTTAATCTCTATTATCTTCATCAATATCAAATAATATATTTTTTTCTTCTTGTAAAAGTATTATTGGATTGTCTTGCTGCATTCTATTTGATTCAATTTCTTCTTGTTCTTATTTTAATGTTTTTTATAATTGCTTCTGATTTAATTCACTTTCTAATTCATTATTTAAAATTTTTTCAGCAAAATTTAGAAAGGAACCATCATTATTAAAATCTCTTTATTTAATAAATATATTAGATTATATTAAAAAAAATTATCATATTTTAATTGATTACTTATAAGAAAATTCTCTATATGATGTTTTATCTACTTTTCAAAACAAATGATACTCTTGAATTAAAGATTCAAAAAAATATTACATACAGCAAGAATAAATACACAATGTTTATTGCTTAAAGTGAAAAATGATGTTCCTGAAAACTTTGCCCTTGCAATCGATGTTATCTAATATATTTCATTACTATTCAATTGAAAAAGTAAACAATAACATTCAAACACTTATACAGATTTTTTTTATGTCAGGATAGCAGCTGATAAAGTTTTGCTTTTTAAAAATAATAATTTTTCTGAACCAAAAACTCACTACATTGCAGATCTAACACTTTGTAATGTTGTGCTACAGTAATTTTTTATTTTTGCCAGAAGCTTTTATTTAATTAAGTTTGAATTAGTTTAAACATAATTAAAAATAATTGAATTATTTTATTTATACTCAACATACCACACCATTTACTATGAAATAAATTTGTAAATTGATTAGAGCTTAAATTGGACATATATTTGAAGAAGTTTATCTTAAGATATTCATGCAAGGTATTCTTCAAATAATTTGGTCTGGATAAATATATCTTGGAAACAATTGTTTTATAATGTTTAAACATATTTCCTAAATTATTTAAACTATAAATTAGATAGATTATGCTATAAATTTTATTAATTAATATACTTATATCCATAATCTGTAAATTAAACTCATCCTGTTCATCTCTCTTTTTTATTTTAGCCTTTATCTCTCAGATATTATCATTAAGTCTTCTTATCAAAAGATATAATTATTGTTGTTGCAAAAAAAATCATTCATCAACTTGTCACCTATAATATTGTCATTTTTTAAAAAGAGAAATATATATTAAAATGTAATTAAAAAAAAAATTATAAATTTATTGTACCATCTGTCGATCTTCTTTTCTGTAATCTTTTTTAATTTTCAAGTAAAGATAAAGTCTCGCAATTTCTATCATGTTGGTGAGATGTAATTTGAGCTGTTTATTATGGAGTTTGTTGCCTTGAGGGTTGATACATGAGAGTTTGATGTCTTAAGGGCAAGAGGGCTGAAGTTTGTTCTCTTGAAAAATGTCTGGGCTATCATAATTCAGATCATTCTCTTGAAGATTGCCTTAATTGACTTCATTTTCTTAAAGGCTGCCTTGACTAACTTCATTCTCTAGAAGGTTGTCTTGATTAAGATCATTCTCTTAAAGGATGTCTCAATTCATGCCGATCTCTAGACTGTTGCCGTGATTAAGACTAATTTTCATTAGGCCTATGCTGTGACCATTCTTCTGAGTAATATCAGGATTGTGCTTATTCATTTGGGCATTGGTTGAAAGAAAATTGCTGTTAACTTCTAAGAGAACATCAATTTTTACTGCTTATTACCAAAAAGGTATTTTGTATGCTTGCAATACTTTTTGCTAAATCTAAGTAATTATTATCATTATAAGTATAGATAGGCTGGTAAGAATCAGCAATATTTTATTGCATATTAGTAATAAATTAAGTTTGAGAAATAGGAGAAGTATTATAGAGAGCTAAAGTATTTTCATTAGATATTATATTTTATCAAAACATTATTACCTAAAATTTATTTTATTTTTATAATTAATAAATGTAATGATATGAAAATTTTTAAAAAATTAATGACAAATGAAAGTATTATATTCAATATAGTCACTTTATTTATTATGTTATAAATCGATTTTAATAATTATATTATTTCTAACTTATGTAATCATTTTTGCATATAACAATAATTGTGATACCATTATTCTTGACATGTAATAATAATAATTGTCAGTATAATTTTATACTTAGATCTATTTTAGAAGAAATATATTTTTAATTAAAAATGATTTAACTAAAAATGTGTTGGCTATATGAATATTGTGATTAAGAGTTTTCCAAATTCTATGCTTTAATTCAATACATTTCATCAAAGTATCCGTTTAATTAATAGTTAACATATCAAGCAATATTTAAGAAGACAAATGATTAGGGTTCCGATCGGTACCATTCAGTACGGTATTTCATAAAACCGATACCGAAAATATTTTTTGGTATCGGTACCGGTAATTACCGAAAATTTTTGGTACAAAACTTTGCAATACCGATACCGAACCGAAAGTACCGAAATTATCAAAATTAAATAAGTTTATATTTTTAACATAGCA